AGGATACAAGCTGTCATGTGATTTGCCCTTGGCCCCCTGGCTGAGGATGTTTTCCAGCCAGGTCCACTCTGAAGTCACTCTTTCTTCCCCTTTCTACACTGTGCTCCTGGGACCAAACTTATTATGTGGGGGGCCTACATGTCAGGGGTGGGAGGTAATGTTCTCCCTCCTTGAAGGTGGTGTAGATCCACATAAGTTATTGATACCTTTCTGCATGGGAGGTCTGTCTATCCTGCCTCTTTTATTTATTCAGTCACTTATTTATATCATTGTAGACTCAGGGACATTTACTTTATACTTTGAGTTATAATTCAGAGCTACTTTGTTTTGGCCAGTTGGTTCTGGTTTTCTTTGACATGCTCCATGTTTGGTGGGGGGATGGTTGTTTTCAGCACTTCCTTGCTTTCTGGTGCTGCGTGATCCAGCCTCATGTTTCCTGTGCCTTCTCTCAGAATCAGACCCTTCTCCAACGAGCCCGCTTCCTTGGGCGCCAGGTGCGATTGGTGCTTCTGGAATGCCTGTAGAGTCCTCAGTTCCTTTAGGTCAATAGTATTGCCTCCTCTTACTTCTTTTTTTTTTTTTTAATATTTTTTAGTTGTAGATGGACACAATATCTTTATTTATTTATTTTTATGTGGTGCTGAGGATGGAACCCAGTGCCTCACACATGCGAGGCAGGCGCTCTACCACTGAGATACAGCCCCAGCCCCCTCCCGTTACTTCTGATTTTAGTAGTTTGAATCTTTTCTCTTTTTCTGTTAGTCTGACTACCTAAAGATTTGCTAATTTTGTTGATCTTTTCAAAGACCCAACTTTTGGCTTGTTATTTTCTCTAGCTTTTCTAGCTTTTATTCTATTTATTTCTGTTCTGATCTTTATTTTTTATTTATTTATTTTTTTTTTAGAGAGAGAGAGAACTTTTTTAGATATTCATTTATATTTTTTAGTTCTCGGCGGACACAACATCTTTGTTTGTATGTGGTGCTGAGGATCCAACCCGGGCTGCACGCCTGCCAGGCGAGCGCGCTACTGCTGGAGCCACACCCCCAGCCCCTGTTCTGGTCTTTATTATTTCCCGCTTTCTGCTTGCTGTGGGTTAGGTTGTCTCTCCCCCCACCCCCATCTACCTTCCTCCTCGTTTCTAATGACAGAAGTTTAACTTACTGATTTAAATGTTTCTTTTTTAATATAGGTGTTTACAGCTATAAATTTGCCTATAAGCCCTGTGTTAGCTGCAATCCAAAGTTTTGATATAGTGTATTTTAATTAATCTCTATTTTATAAATTTATCCTGTGATTCTTTCTTTAATCCACATGTTATGGAGGAGTGTGTTGTTTAATTTCCACATATTTGTAAAACTGAACCCCCCATTTTTATCATCCTATTTCAGGAATAATTGTTGGGGTCAGCTACAAAATAGATAAGTGTAATTATTAAAATAATACTGGAACAACACTTCACTTGGCTGGAAGCTGTAGGAAAGGAGGAACTGCATGTCTTTCGAGGTAGCCCAATGTCTCTGAGGACCCCGTGCTTCCTAGAGGAGGAGCTTCAGGCTCACGTTCACTTCTCGCCTCTGCCTGGGGTTAGCCGTTTTGCCCTGGGAGTCCTGGATCCTTTTAGGCCTGAATGATGGAGCCTGAATCAGGTACTGGGGGTGAGGGTGAGCATTTTGATTCTTTGTCTACTGATTTGCCTGCTGACCCAGCCAGGCACAGCAAGGCAAGCTTACCTAAAACCTCTCTTAATAAGTACTGGTTTGGGATTGAATCCAGTTACTGGTTTAGAGGGAGACCATCTCCCAGGGTAGGCATCCCTTAGCAGCATGTTGTGGGGCCAAAGAGGTTGGAGTGGTACCTTGTCGAAGCCCCCGTGTAAACCAACATTCAAACCAAGACTCCGAGCGCAAGGGAGTGGCCAGGCTCCCACCAGACTTCATGGTGGTTTGGGTCATGGTCTTCCAACATTGTGAGCCCACTAAGGAATTTTGTAGAACTACCAAGAGGTGGTTGCAGCTCAGTGGCAGAGGGTGTGTCTAGAGTCTAACTCCACAGGGGATAATATACTTTAATGCTAGCATCTAAATTTTTTGAAATATAAATAGTACAAAGGATATAATTTCCACCATGCTGTAAATATTTCACTTAAAAATAAAGCTTTTTAGCATGTGATCTTTTAAATATAGTGAGTGACGTCTGAAATCTGTAGTGATTTGATACCATCAGCAGATGTTTTAAAATAGGATGGATAGGCTCTTTGCAATGAACAGAAATTGTACGTGAAAAAGTTTTTTCTCCTTGATTCCTTCTTTCTATTACTCTCCCAAGAGATTCTGTTCTATTATTTTTTGCCTTAAAAATGTATGCTTAATTATCTGAAACAATAATATATGCTTTTCTCTGCAAAAACAATATTTGTTTTTAATGTTGATGTTAAAAGTTCTCTGATGGGGCTGTAACGCTCTGTGCTTTACAGTTACTTCTACTGTTGTGAAGTTTTAATGCTCAAGACCAAAAGTTCTAGAGATCCGATGCACTGCAATTGACATTCTAGAATTGTGCACTGAATAATAGCTAAGTAGCAAAGTATCTATATCACAGTAAAAAAAAAAAAAAAAAAAAAATCCAGGTTGAGTCATTGCAGTTCTTATCAAATCATGTTTGCAATATAGTTGCAAAATCTGTTGAAATATTATTTGTATCCAAAGTGAATATTTAAAATCCTTTGTATAACAAGGATGTTCATGTTACATGAGCCAATCTGCAGCTTCTTTGCTGTGTTGCCAATGCATAGCTTTGTTTACACAAACAAATCAATCAAATGCTTACACAGAGGAAGGTGGAAGCAGGGGAGGAGAGGCTTCTTCTTGGCTCACCAGCCACCTCTCCCCAGGACATGTGCCAGAAACAAGTGATAATGGAGTGGTCTGTCATTAAAATTGTTTGGATGATCTATTGATTGACAGTTCAACTAGGACAACTTTTAATTTTGTTGAAAGCTAATAATGGGAAGCCACTTGATTTGCAAGATTTATTGCTTGCTCATTAAGTCCATGTGCTTTTTCAGTTTGGGGTAAGTGTGCTGACACCATGTGGCAGTGGGTTGCACCTGTTAATTCCTTCATTTGAAGGCCCCTGTTTGAATCTGATATAACTGAGGAAATAAAATACTAGTGTCCTGGGCTAGGGCTGTAGCTCAGTAGTAGAATACTTGCTTAGCATGTGTGAGGCACTGGATTTGATCCTTAGCACTACATAAAAAATAAAATAAAGGCATTCTGTCCATCTACAACTACAAAAAATAAATTTAAATGCTAGTGTCCCATGGTAGTGATATTTTTAAATAAAATGCTCCATATGTCACATTCCACATCTCTGTTTGATACTCTGGGCACCTTGAGAACAGGAGGCAGACTTGCTGCTGCAGGGCAATACCAGCGTTATTGTCAGTGACGTGCTTTGCTTCAAGAAAGGCCTGAATTAACTCTTCTTTTCAAATTAACGTGAACACATATCAAGAGGGAAATTATTAAAATACTGAGGAATAAATTGAGCTGTGTCTTAGATTAGTTACTATGCTGAGATCAAAACACTGTAGGTGGGTGTTGAGGGTGCCCTCAGCGCTGAGCCACAGGGAGGGTACTGGCGATGGAAAGGGGTGTGCTTGCATGCATCCTGTTGGGACACTCTGAGAACCATGTGTGAAAGCCAGAAATGGTGCACCCATGATTGCATCCTCTCATGTGTAGTGAGAAGAGAGGTTTGGCTGACCAAGGAGGACACTGCTCTGGGAGTTGCACATGGGCCATACCAGACACTAGGCATGAGCTTGCCCTAGTGAAATAAATGTTTTGTGATTTGATAGGATAACCAAATCTGAAAGAATCATGTAAAGCTCATGTTGCTGGTTGTATCCCTTGTGCCTTAAAGGTGTGCATCTCCTGTGGGCAGAGGCGCCTGCAGGGTCCAGGGCGCTCCTGGTGTGGTGTGCGGAGGGGCCTGCAGCATCCACTGGGCACACCCACCTGTGGTGCATCCTGGCATTAAGTGCTGAGAAGAAATACAATGCTTATCTTTGAGGAATGGAAGAGGGAGTCTGGGGGATTCTCTGCACCCCTATGACAGCCTTTCCTCTGCCACTTCCAGGATACAGGTGCCATCAGAGCTGTAACTGGCCAGAAACTGCATTCTTGGGTGGGGTTTTTCCCCTGCTGACTGTGTAGAAGGGGGCTTAGGCTTTTGGTCATTGCAAGTGGCTTCTCCCAAACCAGCATGCTGCATTATCCCACAGCTGAGTTCCAGGGATAGTGCAGGTTAGGAAGAGGCTGGCTTTGCTTTAGATGACCTGGAGGAGGTGGAATGGGGACTGATTCTCAGGAGGGTGCCAGACCCTGCAGGTGCCTCTGCCCACAGGAGATGCACACCTTCAAGACACAAGGGATATAGCCAGCAACACCTATTTATTTTAAAAATAAATAGGACTAGGCATGTAAAGCCTCCCTGGGTTCAATCCATAGTACAAAATAAATAAATAAATAAATAAAGACACCCTAGTTTAAGATTAAAACCCATAAGGACTTCACCTCACCCTTATAAAAATGTCTGGAAGATACTTTCTCTCTGCCTCTGAATCTCCTGGTCCTGCTGTGGCGCTGTGCCCCTGAGGAGGGGGGTTGTAGTCAGCACGGACTCCTGCGTCTCACCCTCTAGGTCTGTGTGCACTTGGCCTTGCTTTTCTGACAAGCTGAGCCTAATGGACCCTGCAGGCCTGTCCTCGAGATGTGGGGCACCTGCTCGGTGTGAACAGGTGCACAGCTCCTCCCTCCATGCTGCTTCATTCCCCGATGCCCCTCGCTGCTGGTGGCCTCTCGCTTGCTCACAGCCAGTTATGTGACCACGGCCTGGCTGACTCTGTGACTCTGGGGCCTGGTGGAGGCTCGGGAGTCTTGCTCATGAACACACTGTACTTCCTCTGGTTCACCCCATCTCTTGCATTGTAGTTTGGGGCTGAATTCCGAAGATTCTCCTTGAACCGCCACAAGCCTGGCAAGTTTGAAGATTTCTACCAGCTGGTGGTGCACACCCACCACATCTCCAGCACCGAGGTGACCATCGGCTATGCAGATGTGCATGGCGACCTGCTTCCCATCAACAACGATGACAACTTCTGCAAGGCCGTCTCCAGCGCCAACCCCCTGCTCAGGGTCTTCATCCAGAAGCGAGGTATGGAGGCCCAGTTGCTCCATGTGTCAGCATCACTTATTAAAAACTTGTGGTTTGAGTTTTGTCTGCCATGGTAGAATCATGAGATTCTATTTCCTAGCCTGTAGGAGATTGAAGAAATCAAACTTTTTTCGTCAACATTAACTTATTAGAACAACTTAACAATAGCTAGACTGTATTTTCCACCTTACATAGTGTTGATTTCTGTCTTTTAAGCACTGAGGAAAAAGTAATATTGATACTTTTAGTATTTTAACTAGAAGCAAGCAAATTCAGTAATGAAGTGGAATTCCTCAGTAGCCTAAAAATGAAATTTGAGGGCACTAGTGTATGTTCCCCATGTCTTTCAGGATTGGAGCAAAATGTTAGCTTTAACTTATAACTTTGATTAATGTTTAGCACTGAAGGCCTCGCTGAAACGATGTCATTTGATGAGAACATAAATGACTAGCTTTGAAGGGGGTGGAGGCCGGATGCCTGCTCGTCTGGGACCACATGCGGCTCGCATCCCACAGTGCAGTTTAGACTGTTTCTTCCTCAAGAAGCCTGGGAGAACCTTGTCATTTCAAAATAACCTGCTGGAGGAAGGAATGAACTGCAAGCAAAGCTTGAAAATGGGAAAATGGCATGTTTGCGATTAATTTAGCTTATATGGACAGGGTAGACCTGTGTTGACATGAAGAGGGTGTTCTCCCTCCTGGGACAGACCTTCTGTGTGCACAGTGAGCACTGACTGCCTCAGAACAGAGTGACCTGGGACCCTTGCAATGTGGCACTACAGCACTCTGCATCTGCAGTTATAGACTTGCTTGTAGGTGCCTCTCTGAGAACTTAGAAAGGGCTCCATGAGCACAGACCAGAGGAAGCTGCATGGGGGTGAGAGGGGAGTGCTCAGGTGTGGGAGTTGGCCACTGGCTTTGCATCTGCAGGTGAGGCTCTCTGTGTCCGGTACCTTAGTGTTCTTGTTTGCAAAATGAGTTGTCAATGGTACAGTCACAACACGCTGAGCAGTGTGCTAGCGTACAGTCTGTGCTCTGCAAATATTAGCTCTTCTTGTTATTCCCACTCATGGCAATGGGGGGACAGCAGGAGACCGCTGACCTCACAGCAGGCTGACTCACAGGCATGAGATCAAAGCCTCTGCATCTGCAGTCTTGGCTGAGCCTGCAGGCCCTTCTGATGGTTTGGGGCGCCAACATAGGCCTGCCTTCCTGACAGCGGCCAGGGCTACTGCTGGGGAGCAGGACCCTCAGTGTTCCTTGAATGGCTCTATGTGGCTTCTGGCATCCCCTTATTCTGTTCTCGGTGGTGGCCACCCCCTGCCCAGCCCATCCTGGGAGGGGTGCCTGCACCGCACTGCCCCTGCCTGGAACTCTCTGCCCTTCACATCTCTCAGGAACCTGGACGCTCTCTCGCCTTCTCAGGGAGGCTGCGCTCCATCTGCTCTGATCAGCTCACACGGCTCTCCACCTGCTTTGCTCTCTTAGTTTGCTCTTTTTCTCTGATTACTTATTGACAGCTATCAGGGTGCTGTCCATCTTCACCAGACCCCACGCCCATGGAGGTTGTTACTGGCTGTGCCCCAGCAGCCCCAGGTCACAGTCTTGCTCACCAGGGGACATGTGTGAAAGCCCTGGGAAGACAGCTGTGGACATGGGCTTCATTGTGCGTCCTGCGTTTTGCCCCTGGCTGCAGGGTGGGGTTGAAGCTGGGCAGAGGTTGGCCTGAGCAAGGGCTACCACTGCTGGGTCACTAAGCTGAGGCAATATGGGCCCAGGGTTGTCCCCTGGCCCCTCGTCCCTGCTGGGGTGTTCATAGCTTTCTTCTCACTCTCCTCAGTGGGTTCTAACTGGAGATGACAGGCAGGGCAGTAGCTAGGCATTGGACATCCAGGGACAGCCAGACACCTGGCATCAGGACAACCTCGTGTCAGGACAGACTTGCCGGTCTGCCCCTCAGAAGACTGGAGACTGAAGTGGTTGGGTCCTGAAGCCCCGAGGTTGGGGCTCACAGTTCACAGCCTTCTGGGCATCAGCCGTGAGAGGCCAGCTTCTGTTCACCGTCCTACACAGCATCCACACCAGAGTGTCATGCTGTCACTTTCCACACCGATATATCTTATTAAATATGTTTATAGTCACAAATGAAAAGTCAGCATCCTCCTAACACCTACTGAAATAAACCCCCAGCCGTGCTTACAATATCAGACCACTACTTACTAATCTCTTCCCTCAAACCACACAAAGACATAACTTCAGACTGACATCTCTGGCCACCTAGGTGTAAGCCCAGCAAACAGTGGAATGAGGACCACACCCACCCCACAAGGACCCTAGTATGGTGCTCACATTCATTTCACAACAGCCAAAGGGCGGACACAACCTGGTGTCCATCATGGTAAATGGACAGACAGACTGTATGCATGCAATGGAACGTGATCATGAATAAACTTCCAATCAGCTGAGGGCACTGCGCCAGATGTAGGTTACTTTGAGACGGCTCCTACTGTCAATCCTTGCTCAGGCCTCTGTATTTGCAAATTTGCCTGCTTGCTAAAATTTATTTGTAGCCCCAAATCAATACTGACTGTGGTTTTGTAGTCCTGTGAGCACATGCACAAAGTGATAAGAAATTCAAGTGGCCGATTTGCACATTCCCAACTGAGACCGACAAGGGGTCTCTGCTCCTCATTTGCTCATGCTGTAGACCTCGCTCTGCTGATTCAACAGCACGCTTTCCACATTCCTGCATTTCTCCTTACGATCCTGCTGCTGAGGGAGGCCCAGGCACAGGACTGAACCATCCAGCACCTCAGCACAGGTGGCTGCTCTGCGCCTCAAGGGGAAGTCGTGTGCCTGGAGAAGCTAAGATCAGTTGTGCTGCCTGAGTTCTGCGTTGGTGAGGCTGCGGTGCATCTTAAACCAGGTGTCTTTAAACAGAAAGCAAGGTGATGTATTGGTGAGTTGGTGACAGTGCTGTGCCCAGGGGTTGCAGGTGCCCACCTGTCATTCCTCAGGACCCACAGCTCCATGTTCGCTAAGAACCTTGCAGGACAAGGGTCAGTTGTATGTGAAAAATCCAGGATGGCCTGTCCACAGGGATAAAAGGAGAGGAGAACTGGGACAGGTCACTTCTTGGGGTGACCAAGATGTTCTGGACCTAGAGGCTTCCGGACACATGAACTCCATGCTACATCTCCGTAAGGTGGTAGAAGAGAGCCAGGCTGGCCAAGACAGTGGCTCAGAGCACAGCCTGGTCCAAGCCCTAGCTGGGTCGGCTCAGGGCCTGCCTCCAGCCTTCACCTCCCAAACTTAGCCACCCTCGCCATGTAAGAACTTTGGTTCTCTAATCATCATGTTTGTTCAAAATCTTTAAAAATCATCTCTTCCCCTACTAATTAGAACCCCTGGTACGTGCCCAGGGAGCTCTCCTGGTTGTAGGAACCCCTGCTAGGCCCAGATGTGAGCTTGGCCCAGGTGTGCACATGGCTTTCTGTCCTCTGTAGGGATGCAACGTGCACAGCCCAGTAGGATTCACAGCCAAGTCATTTTGTCACCAGGAGAGATCAGGTATCTTCACATCTTGTATCTTAAATGTCACTTACAGTAATAGTCATTTAAAAAACACAGTACATGTTATTACTAATGTGTTCATAAGAAAGCACACACGGTCTTGTATCACACTGTTGATATTCTGATGGTTGTTTCCCGTGTAATCCCCCATATTTTACTTTATGCTTTTAAAACATTAGTTCAAAAAGTATTCCTAAGCATCATCAGATTGCTCTAGGGCTGGTGGGTAGCACATACAAGGCCAAGTGCTGGTAGGTGTTTGGGACCCATTCTCTGTGCCCCTGCCACCGCCTGCCCTCCCCAGGGACATTTGCAAAGCTGGCTCAGCCAGAGAGCACAGGACCAAGACCAGCAGAAGAAACTCAGTGTCTCTATTTTTAGAATAAATAGAATAAACAGGAAGTACAGATACTAACAATTCACCACTCAAATAAACCCTTCAAGCACCAGCAAACCCATGGTCTTCATACTTACCTCCATGCCCTGCCCAGCCAGAGGGGCATGTTGCAGGCAGGCCAGCATCTGTGACTGCCTGGGCATTCAGGGCACTCTGTTGGGCTCCTAGGATAAGGAGAGCACATTTGTAAATCTTGAGATTTATCAGAATTTGCATGAAGGTGAATTTGTGTGTGATTTCTCTTAAGTGAGTTGCTTGGAAGAGTAATAAGGAATGATCTTCAGATTAAAATGTGTAGACAGCTGGGAATTTGATACAGACCTGACAGAGCGTCTGAATTCAGGCACATGAACCCTGCTCACATTTTTCTTGGATTCCTGTGTGTCTGGATCTACACTGGGGGCTGCCTCCTCAGCAGGAGGCACCCAGCAAGCTGTCAGAATTGTTTCGGACCCCTTCCCACATGGCTCTCAAGAGCTGCCTAGAGTCTCAAGGTGCTGGTGCTGACCTAGCCTCGTGTTCTTGAGCTCATGGGGACAGGCCAGAAGCCAGGTTGTCACCCCTCTACAAGGCTCATGAGCCTCTGCTGCCACAGATGCGTGGAAGTTGGCATGTTTGGAAGATTTCTTCTTTTTTTTTTTTTTCAAATAAAAAAAAGGGCAAAAAAGCCTCCCACTGCTTCTTGGGAGGCTTCTTCCCATTGCTTCTGTGTTCTGTCCGTGGGAACGTGGGGAACACAGCGTGCCTGCAGTTTCCCTGCAGTGGGCCGCGAGAATGTGCTGATGCAGCAGGCCAGAGTGGCAGGGCCAGAGGCACTCGTGACAGAGGAATGAGGGGCCCGACACTTCTCAGCCCCCACTGTAGACATGCAGCAGGCTGCACCTGCTTCTAGCTGAACCCCTGGGGGCTGCTCTCCAGCAGCCCAGGTGTGGCACCTGCTGTGACATGATGACAGCCCATGTTCTCTGCCTTGGTTCTCCTTCCTTCCTTCCTTCCATACTGGAGATTGAACCCAGAGGTGCTTAATCACT